CTATCATATTTACATGTTTACTACCAAATATTTGAACTAAAATTTGAAACTTTAAATTAAACTTATGATTATATCTATCAGACACTTTACCTATATACATTAAGCTAATACACAAATTTTTATACTCTCCTTTCATATTATAATTTTTTGTTCTTATGCTCACTTTAATATATTTACTAAATTCATTAATCATAATAACATAATTTGGAATACAACCTATGACTGCTAAGTTTGAACTTAAGTCTACTTCAGTTGTTGCTATTGCTGCTTATTGGTGATTTTCCCATCTATCATCATATATGTATACTAATGCTTTTGTGCCTACTTGTGCTCTGGTTAATCTTGCTATTCTAATTAATATTGTGTTCTTATATGAATCTGACTAAAATGTGATTTTCTCAAATGAGTAATTGCTTCTTTACTAATTAAATTAAGTGTGACTTCTTTATCAATACAACTAACTTCATGTTGACTGATACTACTTACAATTCTACTTTTATTTTCAAAGAAACCTAATTGATACAAATTATATTTATTTTTCTGTGTTATCTCAAAACCTCTTCTAATAAATTATTGTGCTTCTTCTTTATTAGGATAAATATCTTCAGCTCTAACTACTTCTTTTCCTTTTTTTCCTAAAGAGTTCCATTTTCTTTTATCAAAAGGATTTAGCTTAGGTCTTCTATTATTATTTGCACTCAAAGTTAAATTTTCTAATTTATCTAGCAAAGATGGTGGAAGTGATGAAGGTGCGTTATGTAAAACTTGATTTATTTCTATTATTTGTTCTTCTTCAACTTGATCTAATTTTTTAGCCAAACTTAAAAACTAATTGAATAATCAAATTATTTTGCCTAATGGGAATATTACTACTAGATACCTGTGTTGAAAAATCTGTTAAACCTAATAGTTCTTTATCTAACTTACTAATTTCTTTCAAATCTTGGATATATTTTTGCTAGTTCTAGAATCTGTCATTAAACTAATAATTTATCTACTTTATTATGCAACTTATCTACTTATTCATTTAACTCTTTTTGTACTAATTGAATTTTTTGAACTTCTAATTTTAGCTGCTCAACTATTTCTAATGATCTAAGTTCTACTTGCTTTGGCTTACTATCTATGAGATCAACAAGCTCTTTTATCTCTCTTTTGCTAGAAAACCTTTGAATATTTTTATTATTATCTTCTAACTGAGATGTAATATAATTTAAATTTTGTCTAATTATTTTTATGAAATTTTTCTGAAAATGCTCTAACAACTAGTTTAACAAATAATTATACTTATTATTTTCTAATTTTATATTTTCTGCTTGACTAATAATAAGATCTACAATACTATTGGCTTGTAGATTTTCTTCACCATACAAAATATGATTATGCTTTCTTGATGGAAAATAACAAACTAAACTATTTTGGTCTAAAGTTTTTTTTTTTTTTTTTTTGAGGTCACTAATTTCTAAATTAAGATAATCTATTATAAAATACAGTCCACCTTTCTCTAGAGTTACGGCTAACTAGTTTCTTAGAAACTCTCTTTCTTCTCTCAAGGTCCCTAAAACTTGATATGTTGCTCCTTTTGCTTTTAAAACTTTATGTTGCACTTCTGTGTTATTATAACTACGAATAAATGAAGGATGTTCAAGATAACCAAGATAAAATTTTTGCTTCTTCAAAGTACTGATAATTCTTTTGAATATATATGCTAATCTTCTCTTTATGCTATTTATAGTTGGATGTCTGGGATAATAAATACCTGGTAATTGTGGTTGACAGGGTCTGTAAGGACAATAATATCTATTATTCATACAAAATAAACAAGTGTGATATCAGTTGTATCAATGACTTCCATCCTCAAGGTACTTTACTATTATAATTATACTATTAAAATGCTAAACTTGGCTTTAATACCAAATTCGCAACGTAGGCTCGGTTAAATAGTTGGATGGCTATTATAATAACTAGACATAAAACCTTGCACATGGAACTCGACATATTTCAGCATGACGGCCACTCACAGTACAAGTATAAAGCCTTAACGGCTGAACTCAGAGGTACGAAGAACTCAGAGGTACCCTGGTTGATGTTCAGTTATTTGTATGACAAACATTCAACTATAACAGAGTGCTAAAGTATGATCGTCAGTTTAGTAGGTTAATAATATAACTACAATATTGTTTCCTTGTTTTGGACTAGAAGTCTAATTAAACAAGCACACTAAAGAAAGAAAAAAAAGCTTACTTAAGACTTGGAGATTGCTTGATTATGTACACTTGAACTTTTATTGATATATGGAATGTTTACAAAGATAGTTGTTTACAAGAAAATGTTTACTATGAAGTATTTATAAGGATGCTATGAAGACTACGAATGCTTGAGAGTATGAAGATGGTGTGAGTATGAGAGTAGGGTGTTCATGTGTTGAGTGGTTGAGATCGTTGTGGTCTGTATGGGGAGGAAAAACTCCCTTATATACAAATCCTAAAATAGAATAATGTTCCAATATTTACAACTTTTTGGATAGTGACAACACACTGTTTTTGAAAGCTGTTTGTCATGTCACATGAATTTATGTTGTCTTGGTTGCTGCAATGTTTGCCACATTTTCTTTTGCATGTAAATCCATGTTGTCTTGGTTGTTGCAATGTTTGCCACATTTTCTTTTGCATGTGAATTTGCTGCATGATTTGTCTCTTAGTGCACAATTTTTTGCATGTGATATCCCTGAAATGCTTTCTCCTTTAAAATGCTCTTTCCCTTGTCTTCTTTTACATGCCCATTTTGGGTATTATTGAAATGTTTTGTCCTTATGGTTAAAATGAAAGGGTTTTTTTTTTGGGGGGGGGAGGGGGTTTGGTTAGTTTTCCATGAAATCAATGGACACCAATGAGAACGGTGTGGTCTAGCCTGTTTTCTAGTAGTGCAGTTTCAATTTCAATAAAGTATCATTTTCAAATGGAAGTTGGTGTTTATGATTTTATCCCATAACATACCGGAACAATTTAATTATCATTTCACATTTTCTCATCGCCTTGTCAAGTCGACTTTATGTAGTGGTGACTCACTTGTTTGGTTTGAGGAAACCCAATGTTATTAGAGAGGTATTACCAAGATACGTACCCTAGTTGATTTCATTCAATAATAATATCAATTCCATTTTTGAAACCGTTGGTAAACGTGACCTAGTTGCACGTCCAAGTAGAATATTTTGCTTTTTTAAAAAGAAATAGATAACCATAATTTGACAAAAACGATATATAGCACGTATAATACATGCATGAAAAAAATTATTACTAGCTAATTTAACAAAAGACATAAATCGCTTTAGATTAATGCTAGCAACATTGTATTAAATTTTTTAACCTTCTTAATTAAGTAGCCATTTCAGCTTTTAAAACAATAATACGTAAGTACTAACTGATAACGTTGAGACATAATTAACTAAGAAGCCATATCAGTTTTTAAACGTGTATTAAGAAATCGTTAAACATTTTTCAATCTCTTTAATTTGATTTCGGTGCATATCCTGGTCCCTCTGTCAATTACATCAATTCGTGCGTGATTCATTCAAGGAAAAACTTGTGAATAGCCAGCAAAAGGCTTCTCAACATTGATACTTAAATCTCGTGTCTTTCACCAGTCCTCTTTTGGAAAAGGTACTAATTGCTACCATTCTATCTTCTATTTATTGATTTTAGTTTTGTTTTCTAAAGAAAAATGTAAACCATCTTATCTTTTCAAGCAATACATCCAATATTTTTGTTCGATTCAAGTTTAGCAACTGTGGATTTATTTTTCTATTTTGATTAGGGATGGTTCGGTATGGGATACCGAACCAAAAATGACATATCAAATCCCGAACTGAAAATTTTCGGACGAAAATCTCATGACTGATCTCGAACCAAAATTTCAGGATTCCCCAATTTTTTTCCATATTTCATAATTTCCCGAAACCAAACCTGCATCAGAATACAAATCATCTAAATTGAAATTGAAATCATCTGAACCTGCATTAAAAATCCAAATTGAAATCAAAGACATAGTGATAGTGAATCAGTGAAGATTTATGGTAGAGAAAGTGAGTAGGGATGTGTTGACTCGGTTTTGGATTCAGTGGAAGGAAGGGTGGTTTCGCTTTTGGAGTGAGTAGGGGTGGTTTTTGGGTTGTAGAGGGAGAGAAAGAGAATACGAGAGAGATGAGATAGAAAATATAGTAATGCTTTTCATACCATGTTTTTGTACCATATTTTCATACCACCTTAGGTCGTTTGATGTGGACAACCACATCATTTGAATTAATCATATTTTTAAATTTAGTTCATTATTTCATAAACTAATAATTAAGAAAAATTAGTTAATTAAATGATGATTGTGGTATACAAGGAGTCTTTCTCCTTCCTTTCATTGGGTTATGCAAAATTTTCAAATGATGTGGTTGTCCACATCATATGCCACCTAAGGTGATATAGAAATGTGATATAAAATAAGGAAAACTAATGAAAATGACTTCAAAACTTTGAATCTTAACAAAAAATCAGGTAATAAGTTTATTTAATGGTTAGGACGAAGCCCAACATCAAACCAGCACAATAAGATTAGCCTAAGGAATGAGTTTCTAGTTTTACCCCTAACAGCAAATCCTTTCCCGTTTGTTCCTCTTTCCGTTTCTTAGTCTTTCCACGTAATTCCTATTTCTCGATCTCCCGTCTCAATCTCTCTGCCTAATCTTGATCTCTCCTTTGCACATAAACAATTCCTCCACTTTTGTAATCGGATTGATCTCTCTACCTCTCTCTTGATCTCTCCACATCTTTGTTTTCATTTTCCATTCCATTCAAATCCACCATTTTTTCGAATCACCATATTAGGAGCCTTTGAGGATGAAGGAAGAGAGAAAAAAGCAAGCGAGAGAGACGGAGATAGCCGGAGGGGAAGAGACCAACGAGTTCTACCTGAGGTACTATGTCAGCCACAAGGGCAAGTTCGGCCACGAGTTCCTAGAATTTGAGTTTCGACCCGACGGCGTAGATCCGATACGCCAACAATTCCAACTACAAGAATGACACCATCATTCGCAAGGAGGTCTACAATATGGAAGCAAACTTGGTTGATCTTGAAGTTAAAGATGAGCCCAGTTATCAAGAGGGGAAACACATCTTTTGATTGTTATAAAATAAAAATATGAAATTGTAAAGAGGCTGCCAATAACTTATTTTATGGCATCTAAAAGAGGTAAGTTCACTTGGACTTTCCGGAAAGTATCCAAGATTTCCTTATCAGTTTGCTCTTTCTTAGACTTCATAAACCTACGAGGAAAAGGAACAGGGACACATGAGTTAAATGAATTTTGAACTTCTTTACTTACCTTATCAAAATCTTTTTTGTTCAATTCTGTATCTTTATGAGACTTTTCAGTTTCTGTTGAAGCCTCATCTTGCTCAAGATTCTTGGTTTGTAGCTCCTCTTGTTCAATTGTGTCTTTTCTAGTCCTCTTTTGCATCCTCGACTGCTTAAAAACTTCTTTTCCACTCCTTAAAGTCACAACATTCATCTGCTCCGCATTTGGATTCATCACGGTTTGGCTAGGCAACCTTCCTGGTTGGTGTTGTTGCCCCATCAAACTTGCTAACTGACTCATTTGGCGCTCAAGGTTTTCAATTGCTTTGTCTGTTTTCTGTTGATGAGATTGAGTAGAGTTAGCTAGAGAAGCAATTAAATCCTCAAGAGACTTACTTAGAGCTTGTTGTTGTTGAGACTGAAATGGTGCTTGCGGTCTTGCTTGAAAGAAGCCAAGTGGACGGTTATAGTTGTTGGGAACAGATTGTTGTCCATTGTCTTGATTGTTCCACTTTAAGTGTGGATGATCGCGCCATCCTGCGTTATAGTTGTTGGAATATGGATCATACTTTTGCCTTTGTTGCCCTTGAAATCCTCCTAACGCATTAGCTTGCTTAAGACCACCTTGATCTATCAACGAAGGGCACATGTCCGTGGCATGTCCCATCATTGAACATACACCGCACACCTGTTTTGGAGCCACCATAACCTGTTGCACAAGATTAGTCAAGTTAGCTAATTGTAATTCAATACTAGAGTTAGCACTTACCTCGTTAACTTTCTTAAGAGGTAGCTCATCTCTCCCTCCAAATTGTCGTGTGTTGCCAGCAATGTTCTTTAGCAATGCCTTAGCATTAGTTGGTGTCTTGTCCATGAATGCTCCTCCACTTGCTGCATCAAGCATTACACGATCAGTACCACACAATCCTTTATAAAAATATTGTATTAAAAGATGCTCTGAAATTTGATGATTAGAACAAGATGCAGCCAAATGTGTGAATCGCTCATAGTAATCTCCAAAGGGTTCTCCATGTTGTTGTCGGATTGCACATATGTCCTTCCTTATGCTTGCAGCTTTTATGGCTAGAAAATATTGCTCCAAAAATGCTTGCTTCACCTGGTTCCATGTGTTCATTGATCCCGGAGGTAAATTGTAAAGCCACTCCTTTGCCTTGACTTCTAATGTAAATGGGAATGCCCTCAACTTGACTTGTTCCTCATCCACATTTGCTGGTCTTATTCCCGAGCATACCACGTGAAACTCCATGAGATGCTTGTTGGCATCCTCTGTTGAGAAGCCATGGAACTTAGGCAAGTAGTGAATCATGTCGGACTTTAGCTCAAATCCTCCGTCTGCATTTGGATAGGTGATGCACAATGGTTGTTGATCCGTATTCGGCGTTGCCAACTCCCTCAAAGTACGGTTATTAGCCATGCCTTCTTGTGGTTCTTCCTCCTCTTCAGAACTCAAATGTAGTGGAGAAGATGGTGGTAAGGACACCGATGCACGCTTCGGCTTGATTTTTCTCTGAAGCTTTCGAAGTGTTCGTTCAAGCTCAGGATCGTACGAAGCTAAATCAATGCTCTTGGACCTTCGAGTATGTATATACTACGAAAAGTACCTGAAATAAAAACAAAAACAAAAACACTAATGAGACAAGAAAAGAAAACAACAGAAAAATAAGTAATTAGAAATAACAATCCCCGGCGACACGGCGCCAAAAATTTGATAGGATTAAAAGCACACCACAAAGTAGCACACAAATGTCCTATTGATTTTCCTTATTAACACTAAGATTTGTCAATTGTAGCATATGAAAATAAGGGTCTTTCCCGCAGAAGATTGTTTTATCTAACTACCTAAAATGTCACAAAAACTGGGTTGCTGTCCCTACTGACCAGCTACCGAAAAATAATTATTAGACCGACTTATACTTATCTAAAGTCTACTAAATTTTATATGCAGATACTAGACACACAAAGCTACACTCACACAAATTTTTGGGATTTTTGGAGTTGGTTTTCTATTTAAATTAAATCGAACAAAAACAGGATATAAACAAATTTTAAGTAGTTCACAAATTAAGAAAAACGAGTTAGGGGTATTGCTATCCACCACCAAATAATCATGCAAACATATTATGTTTCATTCAAATTTCTTTTATTTCCAGATGAAGATGCTTAAGTTGGCTCAATGTTAGAACTCAACCTATTACTCTTTCTTACGTAGTATGTTAAGAGAATGACGTTTTCAACTTAACTTAGTCCATAGCATGCAATCTAAAATGGCGTGTTCATAGATTTAACAAGTAGAAATCATTAAGAACGAAAAGAGTTTGAGTTATCACAAGGCATCGTAAGTACTGGCGTTGTCTTACTTATCCTAGAAATTGGTTCACATGTTAATCACAATTAACAAGTACTACTTTAGAACATATGTAGGTCCTCATTCGACAAGGGTAGGCACACACATATTCATAGCATTAGAATCCTAGATATGCTTACTACGTATGCATCCATAGAAAACAAATAAAGAATTCATCAATGAGACAAGTAGTGAACCAAGTTTCATCCATTCATAAAAGTAATTCAACGAAATGTCATAACAAAATTGCAATCATATTCGGGGCTTCAAAACAGCCCCTAACTTCTAAAAAATTAGTTACACATAGTTCTCAAAATAAACCAAAAGAAAGACATGAGTTTGAGAAGATAAAACCGAGAGAAGAGAATGCCAAGATTTTCTCCTTCCTTTCCTTCCTTTCTCAACCAGCAGCCTTGCCTTTTTTCCTTCCTTTCCTCCCTTTTTTTTATTTTTTTTTTCCTCTAAAGAACTCTCTTTTGATGCTGCAACCTGCAACCTTTATGCCTATGCTTGCTGCCCCATTTCTGCTCCATAACTCACCCCACTAACAGCCATTTAGTGATGACAATAAGTGAGAGGAAATGGTAAAACAATTGTAACTTTTTGGGCAACCTTTATGCCAATTACTTCCACTTAATCCTCATCTTTAATTCCATTTTATCTGATATTTGAAGAGGTGTCAGCTGGCTTGTTCTTGGCTGCATCAGTTTTGGCTGCTAGTTTTATTGGATTTATTGCATTCAATGCAGTTACAAACTGCTCAGCGTCTTGGAAGCCTTTCAGTGTTAAAACGGCCATAACTTCTTCTAGAAAAACGATATTAACAATCCGCGAAATGCTCCAGAAAATAGACATCCGTAGCTTTCCAAGCATATAAGGCTCATTCTCTAATTCATTCTGAGCTGTTCGAAACTTGCTTCCAAAGTCAGCTGACCTGTACAGGCAGTTTTGACGAATTTGTTACTTAAAATCTCACTGGTGCTATTTTTCTTTTATTTGCTTGACAAATCCTACAAAACACAAAAACAAAGTAAATAGTTCAAAAATATAAGGAACTAACTAAGAAAAGACAAATGAATTTAATGTAAAATATATATAAATATGAGCTTATCAGTTTCCATCCTGCTTTAGAATTTTGCGTCATGCTTGGGTCCATATGTGGAGCCATAGTACAATCCACAGAGTTAATTAGTCTTAAAGGAAGATTATGTGTATCTAATGAAGTGACAAGAGTCATTGGATTAGGATAGAAACGAATGGGCAATTTGGTGGGTAAAGTGGCAGCAAGTGATCTGACCGATGTGGTGTCCCATTAAAAACCACCATAATTAAATAGCCATCTTTATTTTTAGCAATCCCACTTCTCGACTTAAATATGGTTCCTTTCTTTTTGATATATTTTTTTTCACCACTTATAAGTAACGGTGATACTTATTATTCTATTTATTATTGTTAAATAAGTTTAAATTTCGAAATCTGTGTATTGAATTGATATTTATCTTAAAATTTTAATTTATCCAATAGTAATAAGTACGGTAGTGAGCGCTATCACTACTTGAAGATGGTAAGGAAAAATACACACACACACTCTCTCTCTCTCTCTCTCTCTCTCTCTCTCTCTCTCTCTCTCTCTCTCTCTCTCTCTCTTTGTAATCCACTCAAAAGAGATTTTAAGCACAATTAGGGCAAACTCTATAGGCAGTGGTGAAGCCAAGAATTGATAGGGGGAGGGGTGAAGTTAAAAGATTGTAAGGTTAAAAAAAATAGCAACAATCAAATCCTTTTATATAGTAATGTCTTCCATAATTTATCAATATAAACAAATTACAATTGTTGTCGACGATATTTCATATCATGAAAACGTGGCATAATAGGCTCATTATCAATAAAAGCAAATACATCACTCTCAATGTAAACAAGTATGCTATCACTCAACTATTGATCTTCCATTTTGTTACGCAATGGTGTTTTCACAATCTTCATAGCATAAAAGCCCTCTCCACCAAAGCAGTTGTAATCAGTAATACCAAAGCCAATGTAAGAAGCTTATACACTAACATATAGCTTGCACATCTCCCGGTCTTCACCAACTCCTTTGCAAGATTACCAATTCCTCTCAATGATGAAAACTCACTATGCATCTTCATATCGTGAATATAATTATCAAGTTGAATTGGAAGATTTATGAGGTCCATACGATCAAAATCTTGAGAATAAAGTTGGGCTAGACGAACAATTTTTGCTTTGTCAAAAGATGCAAAATTATTCACCAGAATCAAACATGTCATACAAAGAAACAACTCGGTGTTTACCTCATTGAAGCGATCATTCAATTCCTTTAATTGTGTATCAAGGACTTAAAAATAGAGGTCCACACGATAGTAATAGAAGTTTGTGAGTCTTGGAGTTTTATGCCTTGATTTTCCAGGTACGAAATGCAAATCCTCCATGTTAGGAACGACAATATCATGCTCTTTACAAAACTTTTGTACATCATCAAGCAAGTTTCCAAAATCATCATCTCTTAAGGTTGAAATTTCAATTCCAATTAAAAAAGATCTCTTCTGTTGTTGCTGGTACTTTTGGGGGGCAACTTTGCTGTGCTCTTTGGCAGAAAGATTGAAAAAACAAAAGGGGGAGGGACACGGCAACATTAAGAGTTTGAGAGGGATTGAGAGTGAAAGATGGACACGCAATGCCATTTCAAGTATTTTTTAATTTTTTTTATCAGGACCAAAACGACGTCGTTTTGGCCTGAATGTTTTAAAAAAGAAAAGAAAATGCAGTATGCTACGTGCAGAGAACACCGGACCGCAGGGGGAGCTGAACCAATGAGTTTTCCGACAAAGGGTGGGGCTGACCCATAGCTCCAGTCCTGTTTTTCGATGAGGGGAGTGGCGGCCGCCATTCCTCACCCTCACGTGGCTTCGCCACTGTCTATAGGGTCATAATCATGTAGCTCTAGCTAATGTAGTGATAATTCCATGATCTAAACATTTGTGCCATCAGTATCATAAATGATATGCAAATAATGCTAGACACCCTTGAAAAGCAAGGTATATAGATTTTTTTGGCGTTTGAAAGAAGTTTAACTGTTTGCAAAATAGGACGTAGAAGATGGAAGTTATGGTTTAGTGCCGGTTTTACATTAATGGGGGTTGGTAAGAGAGTGTTGGCACAATTGTAAATATTCTAAGGTTTGTAACGGCGTGGGTTAGTTTCCATGAGGGGGTAATTATGGAAAGTCATATTTTCAGCTGTTGGGCTTTCTAAGTCAGCCCGTGCATAATTTGCAATCTTTGTTTTTATATAATAATTTAGGATGGTCTTTGGTTAAATAAAAATTAGCTCAAGCCTTTTTTATTAAAGTTTTCAAAATAAGTGAGAGATAAAGGATTGGCTGGTTTATTTTATGGGTTGGAGAGAGAGAGAGAGAGATGACTGATGAGACCGAAAATAAGAGAGTGACAAAGTTGAGAGAGAGAGAGAGAGATGACTGATGAAAATAAGAGAGTGACAAAGTTGAGAGAGAGAGAGAGATGACTGATGAAAATAAGAGAGTGACAAAGTTGAGAAAGAGAGAGATGACTGATGAGACCGAACATAAGAGTGACTAAGTTCTTTCTTTATAAAATAAGCACCCGTGACCCCTCAATCCCATGTAATACAACTTTTGTCAGCGTCACACCATAATTTAGTTATTTTAATAATATAATAATAGGCATTACACATTCCAACACACACCGACACACACGCACACATATATATATATATATATATATATATATATATAGGATCTTGATCCTCTCCTGAGCCCAAGGAGAGGATTCTCCTGAGCTTAAGAAGAGGATTCTCCTAAGCAAGTAGTATGGACCGTTGAATTTTTATTCAACGGTTACAAACAGAATTTTTTTTAAAGTTATATTAATTATATTTTATAGCAGTTGAATTGTCCACATTGCTTGATCAGAAGGATTATCTCCTTGGGCTCAGGAGAGGATCCAAATCTATATGAAAATCCAACGGCCCACACTAGCGAATTATTTCAAAGTGTGAGACTGAATCCCATACCAAATAATTTGGGATCCGTTTGGTTTGAGTACCAAAATTTTTGGAATTTTTTATTCGATTTCGGTATAATTTCGATACAGTTTGGGATTTTCGGTATTTTTTTCTAACCCTAATTTTAATGCATGGTTTTGACATGCCTTAGATTATTAACAATATATATAATTTGGCAGAGCTTTAAAGGCTTTCGTTCTAGTTGTCATAGATCAAAGTTTGTACGCCGGTTGAGTTGTGACCAGAGCTAGCTTCAAGATCAACCCCAGGTCCCCAACCCTGGCTAGTGATTGCTTTTCCATTCCTACGTTTTTATAATCCGCCTACTTATTTCCCAATAGAGATAAAACCATTGTTGCCCATGAAAACTGGGGACATTTTTTTCTTTTGTCAGAATATCAAGCTTACTTCCCTCATCGTCATCCAAATAGAGGGAAATATTATCACTGAAAAAATAATAATTCTGTTCTAAAATCATTTAATTGTTCTTTTATTATTATCAACAACATGTTCGCTTATTTTATTTTTATTATAATTAGATTTCTTAGTGGTGTCATATTTTGTGAATAATAAAATTTAGAACAAACGACATTAAATTATCTCTCAAATAAAGTTATATGGGAAATACCTTCATAGAAAAACCCTATATATGTCTGACTTATCATGCTTGAATTTGTTGAAAATTTGAAAGTAAGATTTCGTTACTATTGTTTTAGATCATTAACGAGATTTGGAAATGAATTTTTGGGTTGTTAGTCGTGTGATGGATTAGGTTTTTGTTGTTATAAGTATGAAGTTTTGGCCGCTATTGTTAAACTCAACTTTGAACTTAAATTGGCTCTATAAGTTCACCCCAAATTTTTGGTTCTAAAATGTTGAGAGTATTAATCTTACATTAGAAAAAGAAGGGATTTTTTGTAGAGGTTTATAAGTAGTTAGACTACTCTCCATATTGTCAATTGGTTTTATAGTGGAATCTTAACTTTTTTCATGGTATCAAAGCAGTTTGTCCCGTGTTTGATGCTCAAAGGCCACACGTGCTCCATGTCATCCAATTTGTGTTGTCAACGTACTATGCTTGAAAATTTGTCATAGTGAGGGGGCTTGTTTGGTATTATTCTCACATTGGAAAAAGAAGGAACTGGGCATGGGCTTGTAATTGGATTACTCCTTATATAATCAATTGGTTTTATGGCAGTGCCTACATCCATAGCCATTGAAAGTTAACAGAAAAAAAAAAAAAAAACATCCAGGGTAGTTTCGAGTTTATGGTTATATTAGGAATGTTCGTTAAGCTAGATTTCATTTTCTTTCCTTTTAAGAGAGTTATATTAGGAGAGAGAGGGGCTATAAAAATAGCTTTGTTTTTATTTTTTGTTTTGAACGTGCGAAAGGGGGTGGTTAAACTATCTAATTAAGCTGGTGAAAAGCAATGAGCCACGTCCACCCCCCTCCCACATTTTCAGTCATGCATTACCACCTTTCTGAAATTC